TTACAAAAGTAAAAAGGACAATGTCTTTTTGATCGTTCGCTTTCACTTCTTTTTCTTGTTTAAGTTAATGACATATGTATTATTTGCTGCAAACACGAAAGTAAACAGCGAAAACAGCCAAAACCAAAATCGAAAACCCTATAGCTCATGATCAAATTAACCGTCAACTGAAATTGTAATTATTAATGCTTCAGCTAAATGCCAATTTTGCTGTAAAATAACATGCATGTATCACGTAGGATTCAGATTGGTGAAGCTATAGGCCTTTCTTTGAATCACACCATCCAAGCCGGAAACCATTAAAAATTGTTTAAAATTTCTTTATTTTCATGGCGTCATTATGACGAATCTAGAAAATTCATCAGTTCGGCGACTCATGATGAAGAAGTCGATAATTCCTACTAATTTATGAATTGGATAATTTTTGCTCAAATCATTCGCATTGCATGCTCCCCTACTGGCAGTTTAATTTTGAATTCAATCAGTTATGTAGGAAGTAGTTCTTTCGTGACTTGACGAATACAAACATGAACAAAACAAGCACAGCACTAATTTAGTCGTTAGTATTTAAAGAACTGTAAACATGAGACGATAATTTTCCCATCACGGCCGAAAAAAATAAGAAGGCTCGAATCTTCGGCTCTGTTAATTTCAATACATGAAGATGTCGTTTGCTTATTTATAATTTTTGTGATGAAAAATAATCACAGAGATCAAGACATCATTTATACTATTTTTGAAAATATTCATCAATTCATATTTTTGAATGAAACTTGTAAATACCCGTTGCTACGTATACCTTAATGCTTTAACCAGCTGCAGACGAACGCGTTTATAGCATCACATAATTATTTGCGACTGAAGATGAAGAATCACTTCACTAAATATTCTGTATCTTAGCCCTGCAAGCTGAAGATTGTTGAGGAAAGTTCAATCATTTTAGTAACGGTATATACGGAACTATGATTTTAATTTCTTATTACAAGCCAGAAGGAAGTTGATTGTTAATATTCAATGTCTATAAATTTTATTATTTTAATTGTACCTTCGTTGCAAAAAATACGGAAGTTGCGCGGCTGACTCGACTTACACCTGCAAGATCCCTTGCCCGAGACAGTAACTTCGCTCTTATAACATCATCATTATCAGTGTTACACGATCCCTTTTATGTCGTTATATACGCACATGAATGTTATATCGTCGGCATAATCGGGGTCGTATGAGAAACATATAGCTTAAATTTTACAACCATGCAGTACAACGAATGAGCTATTTATCGTCCTTATATAATGCATGTTTTCCGCGGACCAAGTCATCAACTGCACTAAATAATCCTTCCGCCTGCAATTACAACTTTTTGTCCATTCTTCATTGCGCATTCGGAGAAGTGTCGTTTGCGTTTATTTGTTAATTATATGTGAGCACTCAGGTTTCTGCTAGTGCATATCTTAAATATCCCTTATAGCTATATATTTAGCTATTATACATCCAAACAGTCACGGCATGCATGTTTTGCAAAATTCGTCTGGTGCGAAAGATCCAGGGTAAAGCAGACAGGGCCGTAGTTACTTCAATTTCCTTCATTATATATATTCCTCAAAAATGCTTTACCGTCACACCGGTTTAAAATTGATAGCTACCTTAACGTTAGAAATATTGAAAGGTCACAACAATAGAAATACTACTGGAAATAAAAATCACTACGTTTTCTATAAAATAATCCACATATTGACAGAGTTTGTTCCGGCCGTGATGAAGAATACAATAATTATTGGATGAGGCTGAGCATGATATCATATCATTCAGACCAAGGTCAATGTTATACGCCACTACATTCGGGGTGCGGTGCGGATATTATTCACTTAATGTATGCTCCCGAGGGAAATAGTAAGTTTTGTTTTCCCAAGAGTCTGAATGTTCGTCGAGGGAAACATTGAGACTCGAGGGAAAACAAAAACATACATGTTACACGACAATTTCTTTTCAAAAAACTTTGTTATGACAATATGCGGGCAACAATTTTTCACTTGTTTCCCTGGCGGGAAACATTCATTTAAAGTCATGTGACTACGAATGAACCAATCACATTTAAAATACACAACACCTATATAACAATTCCGAATGTCTCATTTGGGGGTGACATAACGCAAGTTTAAAAAATTTTCCCGCCATTTTCATCGTTGCTGTTGTGAAAATGCAAATGTATAACACGAAGATAACGTTGGGAATACAAATTAAAACACTTAAAAGACATCTTTAGATAAGTAAAATTTATTCTAATTTAATGTTCGCTTTTACAACGGTCTTTCGCGGCGTCTTTTTTGTCGTCTTTGTGTGTATTGTTGTCACTAAGATTTTAGTCCATATAATAAACAGACATTACACGGCTCGCTCGAAAATATGGATTTTACGTAATTCCAGTGCAAAAAGAATATCTGAAAAATGAGATACTGTTTTAAGTTTTTGACACGATTTGTGAGATACTGTTTTTGGCATAATTTACTCGCAACGGTGTATTATCCAATACATACACGCGCGTAAAAGTCTAAATCCTTGTTATAGGTCATATTATTTGAAAAGGCTTAATGAATAAATCTTAGGCCTGTTTCAGACGTCAAACTTTTCATGTGCCGAGCCTATAATGTTAATGATTTGAAGCTTTGTTTAAATTCATTTGCATTCGATTCCGCCCACGAAAAGTTGGACGTCTGAAACAGGCCTTAGAACTAAAGGCCGTGTTGCACGGTGCAATTTTCTTTGCAACTTGCAATCCAATTCTACTTTTGAGAGATGCTTTTCTACTTTTCATGCACGTTTCTTCTGCAAGACTCTTAGAGGTACAATTGCATTGCAAGTTGCAAGAAAAATTGCACCGTGTAATTAAGAGAATTTTTATTATTTATAGAGAGTCTTAGAGGTAGAATTGCATTGCAAGTTGCAAGAAAAATTGCACCGTGTAATTAAGAGAATAAAGAACTTAGTTTCCACATATTTTAGTATATGCACAGACCTATTAATTAAATAATAAAAATTTAGAAGCCTTTCAAAAACAGCCTTCATAATAATATTGATATCGTTATTTATAATATAACATTTATAGTACGCGCGTGCTGATTGGTCGAGAAGCGTGTTTCTATAACATATTGCTGATTGGTCGAGAAGCGTGTTTCTATAACATGTATAGAGACACGGGAATTTTCCCGGCGAACTTGACAAGCGAAGCGATGTAATGAGAATTTGTAATTGAATCATCCAAACTCCCACGCGTGTCTCTATAACTGTATAGAAACACGGAAAATGTTTTCTGTTTCTTAAATGGAAACATATTTTCATATAATTATACGCATATGCCATATATATTTGTTCAGCCCAAATGACATGGGATATACAAAAATAATATGCCAGGTTGGAATAATATCTATTGGGTCAAATCCAGCGTACACACTAAGCTTTGTCCTTACACGCCTTAGCGATTTCTGCGGTGTCGTTCCAACGTACAGCAAATATTAAACATTTTTGAAAATTTCTGTCTCGCAATATTTCTATGTGCTCTTTTCTATCTGCTTGGGTTGGCGTTATTTCGGTTGTGTTAAAACGAAAAGTTGTACTTCTTATAGAGCCTTTTTACAGAATTTGTTTATCTTCCTTACTTTGCAAGATATTGGTGATCAAAATCATCGGCTATCGAGATATATCCACCATTTTGTTTTATAATCAGATCCAATTACGTGCATGACGCAAAAGCAGAGTTGAGGCTTAAAATAAAACAATTGCATCACTTTTTGCATGTTCATGGTTTAATTTGGAACTCTTAGATTTCAAACGTTATAACTTGAGATACGTGCGATTCTATTACAATAGAACTATCACTTCGCCGGATCATTAATTTGAAGCTACAAAAAGAATTTTCACCCAGCTTATCACGCAACGCGTATCAGAGCAAGAATTTGCATAACCATGCAAAATGGCGGATGGAAGATTATTTCATTCGAAAATATCGTGAGAAGTAATAAAGTTAACAAATATCCGCGTAAACGAATTTTGTAAATAATCATGACGTTCTTTTAAAGAAGACATAATTTTTATGGCCGTATCCCTTTAATTATCCGTTTGCCTTTAAAATACGATGTGTATTGTGCACTCAAAATGACCGATTAATTCCCCGACCACCAATAACCTTTATTATTTTTGAAAAATTAATATAATAGTTAAAATATCAAAAACCGACTAAATAACTCAGTTGAACAAAAACAATAACACCGTAATAATAACCGAGCCGGACGAAGGTTCGGCGAAGGTGCTAACATTGCCCGAAGATTGAAAAACTACACCCGGGTATTCTGTTATGGACGCGATGGACGGCCGGCGTTTTGTCAGGTGTGCGAATTGGCGAAATATGGTTGCCTAGGTATCTGGAGGGCACGAAAACTTTGCACCATCCTTGGATCCCTAGTTATACACCCTGTTTTATACACAGCGTGCTATCCTCCATAATGTAAAAACGGACAGACCAGACCGGCCCAGTGGTATTTCAGCACAGACAGATTACTGGTATTCTAGAGTGTTCAGAGAACTCTGCATTCAAGTATATCAAGATTGCATCGGCCTAGGGCAGTTTCAACGCTATATTCTTAACGAAATACTCCTTGCAGTCTAACAAGATTTCAGCAGGTTTGGTTAAATATATGGTACCACTGGTTGCAATTGCTTTAAGGAAAGCGTCCACAATCCTTACTTCAGTTCTATTTCTCGAATAGATTTATTGAACAACAAGAATTATGAGTATCATTTTTATATTTTAATGCAAAAATTCATACATTCACCACTACAAAAATTAATGAACAGGTTCTTGATGTTAGCTACATAGTGTACCACGTGTGTTAACTGTATCACAACGTTAAACCTATCACCACGTTAAACTGTACTACCACGTAGTTAAACCATGTGTTAACTATATCACCACGAAGGCGAAAACTTTAAATGGCAATGCATCACTCTTCTATCCACGGGTTTGATCCACGGATCAAAATTGAATATTCTCTTCGTGTACATCAGTAAGGTCATTTTAATTTCACTTTTGTTTTCTTTTCTTGCAAAGTCTGATATTTTGTGACGGCAATATCAATCATTTTCATGAGATGTTCTCCATACTGCAAAATGAGATTTTGGAGCGTAAGAATTATTCCTTTTGGAAATGACAAATTATAATGATTGACCATGCATAAAATGATTTGGGTGAATATGGAAAGAGAATCGAACTGGAAAACAAGTCAAATGCTCATGCTTGCTCTTGCATTTTAACTAGCTGGCCTTGTGTCGATCCGCTCTATTTTTCGCTGTAATGAGTAGGGTCCGTTTGTACGAAAGCTGGATAGCACTATCAACCGACATTCGAAATTTGATCGTAGTTCAGCATATAACCTGGTATTAAGCCATCGTATTCTTACATTGAGGTTTTTTTTTAACATCTCTAAGCTCCAATTTACAGGTATGTTTACAACGCTATCCAGCTTTCGCACAACCGGCCCCAGTTCCTCGAGTCGTTCTTGTAAAAATGGTTTTTCATTTTATTTTTGGTTTTTAATCTTTTTTTTCGGTTTAGGCCCCGAGGGCTTACCTCGAATAACAAAAGCCGTGTTTCGTACTACGACATAAGCCTACTGAACCGAGATGTCTACTATGTCCGAGAAATCTGTTAATCTGAATACAAGTTAAAAAAACAAATATAAATATATCATACCGTTGGGTTTTCCAGAGTTGAAATAAAATTACGAAGTTTTATGTCTCGATATTTCTCTAAGCATTTGGTCATACGTTCTAGCTAGAAGAAAAGTAAAAAAAATATTAACTAACGATAGTTGGAAAACACTAGAGATGAAAGGCAACAAAATTTCGCGGAATAATGTTATAAATAATATTGTTATAAATGATAATTGCCCAGGAACATTCGGTGGTTTAAATAAGTCGGAAAATGTCAATTAAAAATCAAAAAGTAATGACAAATGACCGGAAATGTCAAAACCAAAAATACTAATTCTATGAAAAGCAGCCACTATCTTAAATGGTAAAAATAATACACGCCCCTATAAAAATCAATGTTTACTAATAGGCTACGTGTTTACAAATACAATTAAAAATAAATACAAATACAAAATCACATCTCAATACAAAATCTCAATACAAAAGTCTAAAATCGTTATTAGAAGCAAAGGAAAATTATCATCGCGTAAATTCGCGCTCTCCCCCTACACTTAATAATGAAGTCACGCATGATTATTTATATAGCAAACGTAATATTAGCATCATACACTAACAGGGTGCTTAGTTAACATCGTGCACTCTGTTATGGTTGGCATTATATCAGTGGCGTAGGAAGCATGATTATTGGGGCACATATTCTTTTATTCATGTTGTGCACGATCATTTTTTTTAAATCGATTATCTTTACAAGTCTGTTAACATGAATATATGAATATGTGCCCCCCCCCCCCCAATTATCGTGCTTCCTACGCAACTCGCTATCATTAGGCACCTTTATATAGCAGTGAGTTTGTCTACGAGTATAAGATTCGTCATTTGCTTTTGCCTACGCCATCTGACGAAAATTCTACGTAGTGGATCGTAGGGGCATAGATCGAAGATGGACAGATGTCCATCTCAGAAATAAAAATGTCCCAAGGCAGGCATCTTGCATCTACCATCTCGGCAAGTGTTTATTGCGTAATGTTGCGTGATTACGCTGTCTGCCGTGTCACCTATTTCACTGTTTTAGTATTTAGCTATAGAGATAAAAATTCATTACTCCGGCGCCAGCGACCGGTTTTTGTCTTTTTTTGTTTTGTTTTTGTGGGTAGCCGCTGCGCATGCGCGGCTAACCACTATGTTATAGCTGAAAAGTGTCCGCGTCCGTCTAAATGTCCACATCTTCGAAAAGTGAACAGATCACGATTATGAACTATCACTGTTTGTCGACATCTTCGGTGATTGTCGGATGACCGAAACGAACTAACATGGATGCACACCACTAACCAGTGCCACTAACAGTTGCAATTGCACGACTTCTGGAATTGGGGAACATATTTATTGATTTCGAAGTACTTTTGGCATGGGGGAGCATATTTATTGTTCGTAAGTATTTTTGGCATGCTATTTATTATCCATATATAATTGTATATGATTTCCAAAGGTAACACAGAATAAGTATTAAAACTTGCTTATATCGCCCATTTCATTTGTTGATTAATTTCAAATAATTAAATTTAAAAACGTTTGGGTTAAACCATAATAGATTTTAGGCCTGTGGAAATTTAAAATGGCTTTTGTATTGTAAAACAGAGCGGATATTGATACACCCTGCATATTTAATAATTTGTATAAATTTAATGACTTGTACTGAAATACTTATATTCCATTTGCTTCAAAAAGATCAAAACATTAAGTGCTAAATTATGCTTCCTGTAAACACTAAAATTGAGCAAAGGAATTATGCTTAACTGCACAAACAGCATGTCGAAGCAGAATATTTAAAATGCAAGGGACTTGATAAATCAGGTTGTATAGAGAAATAGTAATCAAAGACCGATATAGTCATTGCAACAAGTCCCATTCCCAAAATTCCACGTTTAGACATATAATTAATTTAAAAATTTTACTCAAGTGAGTTTAAACTCACAGACAATGTGTATATTGTAGAAACATATGTGTATGTAAACTACTGATAACATATTCAATAATATATAATATATAATATATAATATAATATAAAATAATATATATATATATATATATATATATATATAATATATATATATATTATATATATATATATATATATATATATATACAATTAAGTAAAGTATCCAAGAAGAAAGAGTGCTCGATATCAAAATTTAATAGAGCGATTAAAATAAAATAAAATCAATGAAATATTACAAAATTTTGAATATATTGTTCCCTACACTCTGTGTTTCACGTTTCTTCTGAAACGATCATCAGGCGAATCGCCTGATGATCGTTTCAGAAGAAACGTGAAACACAGAGTGTAGCGAACAATATATATATATATATATATATATATATATATATATATATATATATATATATATATATATATATATATATATATATAAGTTCAAAGTCATATAAGATTCTTTAATTAAATTATATGAAATATATACTATTTTGTCAAATAACAAGCATCAATTGTCACTAGGAAGCTTTAACATAATTTAACAGAACTTTATACTTTTTTTTGTTTCAGTTTATTTTATGTAACTGTGTTCCTATAAACATAACTTTTAGGATAGTTCAATGATTTTCTTCTGGATAATGTCATAAACAATGTCCAGTTCATCAATGTCTGCTATCAAAATTGATTGATAAGCTTTTCTGGTGTCATTTGATTTAGCGAGTCATCTGTGGAACATCTAGCTATGAGCTGATGCACAATGCTGTTTAAGGCTGTCAAATTGAATGCTATGCTAGCTAATAAATAATCAAGGGACATCATAAAGAAATACTTTGAAAACGTCTAAAAACCTTGCTCTCCTTCCAAACTAAGCTTTATATATATCTTATCAGACGATTTGTACCACCACTTTGGAACCTTACTCTCTTTTTTGTTCTGTCCACCTATTCTATTTTTAAAAACCATGCATTTCCTATCTTTTGTAAATATGCTTTTATTTATGTTATTATTCTGTCGTTAAAAATGTATTTAAATTAATACAAAAAAAAATTTGAATATATTCTGCAAAAAAATCGATTTCTTGAATTCGACTGGCTAACATATGGCATTAGAAAGTAAAATTATAAGCATTAGTTTATATTGACTCGTCACTATAGCAGCCTGTAATTTGACATTGAATCAAACTTGAATTTTTTCGCCAAACCATAGCTTCATCGCAGCCAATTATTTGCAAATGTTTCCGAGGCTACCCACGTGTACGCATTGCGTACCTATTTTTATTTTTTGTCGTCGCAAGTCTGAAATGGTGCGAAACATTCTAGTATTTGAAAAGTGTATGTAACCGTATTTATCTACGTCCCAGTCTTTTCTCGCAAGAGTTGTGGTGTACAGCTTTGGCTAATTTTCCGATGCGCGATTCGATTTCGCTCGTATGATACGACAATTCCTCCAAGAGGAACAAATAAACCGTTGTTTTCATCCCGTTCGATTAAGTTTAAATTGAATTGGGGTAAGAATATATTTAATACATGTAGACTCGGTCCTTTTTTAATAATATCGCTGCTATCTCGTTTAACAAGATGATGGCCGTGTATGGGCGCGTTGACACGTCGTAGTTTGCACAGGATTGAAGATTTAATATAACTATATAAGCGCGAATTCCAAAGGCAAAGTGTAAGACAAAGCGAATGTATCATGCGGTTTATTTACATTTTTGAACAATTGAACTTCTATACTTTTTAAAGTACGGTGTGCTTCTGAATTTCGCGATCGAACATTTATAGGTTCGCAAGGCATCTAAATGCGAATATGAACTGTGTTGTTTACGTTCAGAAGCTCTATATTAAAGACTGCCACGTGCGCCGGAGTTAACGCCAGAACCGGGCGTTTTGTTTAAAAATAAATTTATTAATTTATATGAGTTAAAAGCCAACAAATTACTACGAAAACGGTAGAAAGAGTACAAAATTCACAGGCATGCAGCAATCAGCCCATGCACAGCAAGCATTGTGCCGTGTGCCTGCATGACCTGTAGCTACATTTGGGGAAAACTTGAGGACACAAAAATAATACCTAGTTACACTTCTGATAATACGTATGTGGCGGCTTGATGCCGTAAGCAAACAACACGCAAGGATGACGAATCTTGTTTGTACTCGTAGTCTTATGCTCGTATAGTAACTGCTAAAGCTCTCTATTGTTTTTTGTAACAGCACCTATAAAACTAATGTCAAAATGAATTCACCTTTTCTTCTAAGAATATTGAAGTGACGGGAAAACAAGACCAAAAGTGCCGAAGTAACTCGGTAATTGCATTATAATGTTGCCGTAATTCTCTTTGCAACGTTTGAAGACCATGGCCTAAACAAAAATGCACAATTTAATGATAAATTGAGTTGTTTCACATAAACATTATACAAATAGCTTATAATTCTTCAGGAAAAGAGCAGAAATAAGAAGAGATTGATTTAAATAAATCTCATCTCGTTTCATCTCGGGAAATATTATCTCATAAATATATTCCCTTCCGAAAAGCTCCCTGACCAAATGTTTTAAAAAATCCAAGTTTTCTTTAATCAGTTAATGAAGCGAGGAACAAATATAATCAAATCACTTGAATGAAAAATATTACGACTGCACGCAATGCCAAAAAAAAACACGAACAAACGATGAATTGGCAATTAATAATTAACATACCGTTAATTTCGGACATCGTATCTCTCATGAACAGGCCACCAGGTGAGAATTCGGTAAGAACTTCGCAAGCACAATCGCTGCTGAGAGTCTAAGTTTAGAAAACGTTGGCATAACATCCATTATTATTATTATTATTGTCATACATAGCCTACCTACTAACATGTTACATACCAAAAGAGCGCAAAATAGGTAGCATAGACTAGGCATGACCAGGTTACATAACATAGTATAACGAATTAGGTCTATATTGCTAAGCTGATCGATGAAAACACTATTTTAAAAATAATGTATATTTATCCCCAATGATCAAAAGATAGAAAGGCGTTTGTTTATTACAAAAATCGTTTACGTGTATGCTACCCGCTAACACAGAACAAATTGGTTCTGCATGTAATGAACGTAATTATACAAGAAAAACTATATACACGATAAATATCTAAAGCTGCTTTTATTGTAAGAATTAAATACCGTATATTCGTCTGTACCTTGACAAGCTCTGGTTGCCATGATCTGATGTCCATAGAACATCTTTCGGCATAAGATGTGAGATTATCCGTACCATTGGTATACGAATTTACCTTGTGAGGTGCCTAGATAATGAGTTGACACATTTCCCGGACAGTATAAATATTGCATGACACTGCAGTACAAAAGCTATTTTTTTATAAATAACTTAAAAAAAGATCTTAACTTTTATTAATTCGATTCAATCATAAATCCTTACAACACTATTTACAACGAACAACGAACAGCAATTAACGATGTTTTATATTTTGTGCTTTCTGAGTACAATTGGGAGTCTTCCAGAGACCATTGAGCTGAGTCCAATAGAAAGTTCTCGATTACTTAAACTCAGAAACCGATTTTTGTTTAATAGCTCCTCTTTTAGTGTATTAATTTTAACATGTTATAATAAAGTATCGTACTAATAGTCAGCCAAATGCATGTCTGCATAGATGAGAAAAGTTGAGATTTCACACAATAACGTAGTACCTGGGTTGTTTCCACTGCAATTCCCTGACAAAACTGATTTTTGTCTTTTATTTTCAAAACTACTGATTCGTTCGTAGTTTCCTCCTCCAAATCCTCATATCTTACCATATCTCGAAGTCGAGCCTGATAAAATAATTCAATTGTCAATTACATGTTACAACCTTGGGTCGAACTAGAACCTCTACTGTTTAAATTTAATTGGCAAGCAGGTTATTACGCATAAAATGCTAGCTGTCTAAATTTGACTATCTATTTTAGTCTTATATGTCGTTAATACAATTTAGAGGAATTTTACTAAAACGCCATTTTCTTATGCCTATGCCATAAGGTCAATATCTTATGCCGCGTTTACACTACATTCATTTATTGGCAGGGTACGGTTAAAATGGGTACGCTTAAAAAGGTCGGGCACGAGTACCCATTTTAGGTTTGGCGTGCCGATAATTTGAGTGAAGTGTAAACGGGGCTGATAAGGTTTCTTAATATATCTTCAATTAGGGAAAGACCTAAGAGTAATCTATATTATTACTCTAACCCTTACTTAAAAGCTTGTTTTTAATTAGAAAACTGTCTAAACATGCCCCATGACCTGAAAAAATAATACGAAGGGCTTGTTTTAAATTGTTTCATTCATACATCTCTACCCGGCACAGAAATGAAAAATAAAATAGCGGGACACATTACCACTTTTATCGGTGGTTCATCCTTGCTGTTCGTCGACTTTTCATTCACAACCTGGGAACTATTAAATGTTTGTAAAGCTGCCATGTGAATGTCATGGACGATGGACGTTTTCGTAAGTTATGCGCGTGCGTGAGTTTACACGAGTTGACACTGGTAACTAGGCAAAGGTTGCAAACGTGCGATTAGCATGTCGGCATGAATGCCATTTTAAAAATTTTCTGTATAATGAAGTGTCCAGCTATTGGTAAAGGATGAACTGCATAACGAGACGATTCATCGAGTTGCGCAGCTTCTAGTTTAATCCATGAATTCATGAAAATACCTATGGCATGTATTATCAATCCTCACAATTTACCTTGTTTTAATACTTTTAACAGTATCGCGATTAATTACTCAAAAACACTTAAAAGCCCGTTTTGGAATATTGGAAACTGTGCTTAAGAAATTTTCATGTAAAATATGACACGAAAACAATTTTTGCTTTCCATTTAGCCTATCACTTTAATAGCGACAATAACACAATTTCAATTTTATATATATGAACAATTGTCCAAGGAAGAAAGTTATAACTTAATTCAGAATCTAAAGTTATGCCGTGCTGTCTAATTTTAAGTGTGGTCTTTGTCTGACATTCGCCTACGATTCGGTTGTTTTAACGCCATGCATGACCGGGATAAATATATTTATACAGTTGAGATAATCTGTCTATCCTCTCTACAATGCGTGCTATGAATGGTTCTCCTTCACAGGTCCTAGATATGCATCAGTAACATGTTTGCCAAGACAATTATCATGTATGTTACTTACGGAGTGTCCGCGTATGACTTGAGTACCATAGAGCTCTGATGATTGAACCGACGAAACAGGTTGTCGTTTTTGCTTTTCTGATCGGAAGAGTCAGAAGACTGTTGTTTATGACCATAGCCCTAGAATATAAAATACTCATCATTTGTTGGAAAGATTTGCGATAAGGATACTACTTTAAGTCAAGTGGTGGTGTATTGTATATTCTTTATACCTAGAAAGAATAGATTTTGTTTATGTCTGGCGAAAATATAAAGAGTTACATTCTCTTTGTGGTATCCAGGAATTCTCGAAAACGAGAATGTTTTCCCGATGTATACGGTACGTATAAACGTAAATTTCTTTGAACTTTCAACGTGGTGCCAACAATGCTGTCAAGGCGTAAACACAGTATTTTACCTAAAGATTGCCAAAAACATTTGTTGTTCGTTTCAAAACAAACCTGGTCAGAAAGAGGAGATGACTCTGAAATATCCAACAAACGATCATAGAAATTTGAAAGCTTTTGTTCCAGAAATTCTAAACAAGTAGACAAAAATTAGGATATATAACTAGTTGGTTGAAATTACTTTGTTGAAAAAAACCCCCCGGCTAATTAATCACTATAATAGGTAGAATTTGCAGTAGAATTAATTGATAAAATTGAATAAATGAAATACAGTATGTTATAATAACCAAACACAGAAAATATACCGTTCAATCTTATCTTTACCGCCGTATACGTTACCTAGCTGATTATATTGATAGGTTTCCTCGCCCTTGCGTACCCAGGAACCAAAAATGTAACAGAAGGTTTGCGGCAGCTCCTTTTATTCCCTACATTACTGTACATACCTTGTTCATCCTTATTTGCACATTCCAAAAACAGATCCGACGAAGTCTTTTGACGATCACGATGAAAGAAATGAGACTGAAAAAACTTGGTCCAAAATTCCTTCTCGCTCATCTGCAGGCAAAGAATTGATAGTGAATCACTATAAAGCAGTTTGGATCCGGATGATATTGCGATTAGTGTATAGCTATGATAGGTTTTTTTCACTTCAGTTATGTGAATAACAGGAAAATAGTTTGGTTTTAGGGATTAGCTCGCACAGCATTTAGGAAAATACCAATGAAGGTTTAGTGGAAATAAACCACATACCAAATACCTACAGCTGACTAATAATTTACATAAATACCATGTAAAGACTATCACCTGGTCAGGAACGTTTTCTAAGTGTTTCTTCTTAACTAAAACAAAATATCCACCGGTTAGGGCAGATAAACAAACTTGGCCTCTTAGCGGGGTTGCACAGCTTGTTGTAGCTACATTTGTAACTTTTCTTTTGATCGGATCCACACTCCACAGTAGCATGGAAGGTGGAATTTCGTTTTAAACTAGTCGATATATCTATTTACATTTTTCAGGAAAAGCCAATCAGAATGCCTCAATTTTTAATACGTATACTTCATGTAAAATGGCAAATAATAGAGAGTTTTAGTTTGACGTTTTTTCTTTAATTGCTAACCGTAAGCCGCGACTTGACGTTGAAATTTTGCCGTTTCTTTTAACCGCTGGAGGTGTATTTTCATGCATATAGCTCGTTTACCTCAGCGTTTTGTCATTGCAATAGTGTCTCGTTTCACGTATAAAGACTGCTCGTAATTCTCTAGGTACTACGATATCGTAGATCGATAGACGGTTATTAAAATGGAAGTTCTTTTTAACTTTTACAGGTGTAAACAAAATTTGATTTTAAAAAAATTGAAGTATTAGAAATTGCAAGAAGCAATTTCACAGGGCAACTGTTTACTGGATTCCAATTTTTAATCGTTCTAACATAATGTATAGGTAAAGGACTGCTGACAAATGTCAAATTTGCAACAACGGCGACGTCAAACCGCTAACGTGAGACCGCGGTTTGCGCATAATGTACTTTGCGGTAAAACTGGCTAATGTACCTTTTTATCCGAAGTAGTCAAAATCTGACTGTGTTACCGAATTCCCCCCCCCCCTTTTTTTTTGCAGTAGAAAACTAATAAGAGATCACTGAGCATGTTTACTAATGGAATGCAATGAAATAAAAATTATGGGCGAAGGGACTTGGAGAAAAATCGTGGGTACGAGGTTGGGAGACTATATACAGACGCCTTCATTAACTTGGTAACTTGTCAACACTGTCCTCACTTAATCGTGCCTAAATTTGACAGACCAACAAGGAGGAATTTCATTTTAAACTAATGGACAATGTTAGACTCCTTTTTAGACCGACCGTAATAAAAATTCCGTAGCCGACAATAAGACATACATTTTTGTATCGTACCTGCCGGGTATGTTTTAAATATTGCCGCAATAGTATCAGCGTCCAAGTTATATCTCAGTTCATTGCAACCACTACTCTCTGGTTTTACCTCTGACTAAAAAAAAATATATTGAAACATAGGTAAAGTGTGTATGTATACTACACTGACACGGCAAAATTATAGCTAACCTCAAATTTTGAACTATAAAGGGTTTTGATAAAGTGAAATTGAGGAGAAAGAGCCAAAATGGTAACGTAAAATCCCTTTACATGTACACCTTCAATCACTTCACATAGATAGAAATTAAGAATTAATCCTTACCAGAAATCCAGACGACAGACCGATAGTTTGAACATCACCAGACCCTGTTTCATTGCTAGATGTCTAAGAATTAGGTAGTTATAATTGGTGTACAGTTATAAGTGGTTCTCGAATTTGTGGGCAGGGAGATCATTTTAATTTCTACATTAGGGAAATGGGTATACATGGGGACATCGAAGTGTGCCCTGGAATCGGGGGAGAAAATTGGGAAAAAGGAGAATAAAATTTAACACAGTAACCCGATATTTTTGAATGCGCATGGGCATCCTAACTGTATGGCAACTAACTTATTCTATTAGCTATATCATGCTATAAATTTGTGCATATTATGGTATGACACTTTCGTTACGACAACAAAAATAAAACTACATAAATAAAAGAATTCTTTACCTGTTCATTTGCTCTGTTTGCCCAAAATTCTGCAGCTGTAATAATGTCACCAACAACAAGATCTTTATATAGCTGGTAGAGATCAGGATTATTTTGCAATAGTCTAAAAAGAGAACAAAACATGCAATTTGATTCTTCAAAGAGGCAGAGTTGCATTCGCCAACAAATATAGATGCACCAACAGAAACATACTTATTCTTCTCCTCCAAATCTTTGTTCGCTTTTTTCCTATGAGCAGGTATTAATTGAGCTAAAAGGTCCTTCACGTCATCACGATCTCGACGTTCAGCGCCAGGATAGGCATTATTGACAAAATGGAAACTGTACGAGTTACCATCGTGAAGCACTGTTTGAAGCTGCATTTTTGAGCTGCCTTCAGGGCTGATTCTCTGCACTACGTAAATACGTACAAAGCATTTATAAGTAGCTACATACACAAGTGGAGGTCATGGGGAAAATTATGGCAACGAAATCCGTTTTTGTGTTTCGATTAAAATCCCACATTTTGGTTTATTTAATTTATCATGGATTTACCGGTAGATACTATATTCTGCCTTTCTTTTCTCTAGCGCCTTCTTCATATTCGTCGCTACTCGCTAGAAGCCACCAACGATATTAATCGTGGAAGCCACGCAACTAATGATATTTATAGTAATTATGATGCTTTTAGCGCACGTTTACGTTTACGGACAACAAATTTTCGTACTATGCAAGTCCCTCCGCTAGGCAGATTCACCCGAGGGGAACATCATCACTTCGGGAAATATTTCGCCAAACCACTCTCACTCCAGGTCTATAAATGATAAATGTCTTTCATGCGGTCGAAAGTATTACGATTAATCAAATTTATTGTCGCGGCGCTGTCGATTGTTATTCGGAACATTAAGCTTGTAGGACTCTCATGCAACATAGTGAAGAAACGCCAGAACCTACCGCATTGTTTTAGATGGTGAAAGGTGTTATACAAAACTATATTCTACCTGTCCCGTTACGAAATTAGAAAACCTTGGTCGATATTCGATATTCGTAAGCTTGTGTCCAGGCATCTCTTTAGATTTTAGCAAGGTAATAGTGTTCTAATTTGTTTTTATTTTTTGTTTTTTCATATTTTGATTTCACCTGCATTTCTCCTAATGCCTGTATTCAAAAAGCTCATTCACTCTCACACAGTCACAATCATTGAATGCATGTAGCAAAGAAATTGTGTTATCACTTATCAATTAAGAATGTAAAGTTGTTTCTTTAAATCAATGGAAAGATTTCGAGCATAACATTGACATTTGTGAGATTTCATGACATTGACACTGGTGTGGGATTAAATATTTATATACAAGTACCGGTAATAAGATGTTAATTAGATTTATATCTAGCTAGATATAAATCTAATTAGCTAGCTGCAACTTTAGGTTTAAATTTGTATGGAAAATACAAGAAGCATAATCTTTTTGAAATAATTACTTGGCGCAAATAGATTCAAACATGTTTAGGTACATACCATATTGCTATGGTATGTAAACCAATAATAGCAAATGCATTCAAAGTGAATTGAACTTGTGAGGGGATTTGATGGGCCACCCACTATTTCTAAATGTGCCTGAAGGAGATATTTTCAAACAAAAATGTAAGAAATTATCAATCTATATGGACTGGTTATTGAAAGCAGGTTGCCAGTAATAGATATCATTGGGCAGCCTTCCTTGGTTTTAGTGGCCAGAAGTAAAATTACTTTGCTATTCACTTTAAAATACATATAGTTGATTCACACACTTCCCAAAAGTAGTTATTTACTTTATATTATATTATCAATTGAGTGTAAATTCTTATCTGATAAACAAAATATTTATTTCTCTAACACAGCCTATGAAAACAAGTACATATTGATGGGTGCGAAGGGGGGGGGGGGTTGGGGTGCCGAAAGCACTGTAGGATAACAGAGTCAGAGCTTTAGAAAAAGGTACATCTATAATCGATCACCTTAGCAACCACATGAAGAGGTAACATGCATGCAAATTGACTTGCAAATCCAGCTAGGGGCGAATACATTTTCAATAGTATTACCATATAGTTTTAATGCAAAGAGTAGGCATCGATCGTTATTAAAATGGCAAATGAATGATACTATTACATGGTGGCAAAGGACACAGGGCTGCCCCTGCTCATTCCTGTAAGCAAAGGACAGTGGGGGCAGCTGTCATGATTGCTCCCATGGTTCTGGTGCCCAGGATATTTATACAATGCGTATTTCTCTAGGTATCTCCTTTCTCCATTCAGAGTCTACACTAGTACTAGCTAAGTATTAAATGATCACTATAGTCCATCTATAGACCTTAAATTCCTTATACAATGGGGTTCCTATAATTACACACCAACCTTCACTTGTTCATAATACACAATATGTGTTTAAAAATAATGCATGTATTTAAAACGTTGTACAAATTTGCACCTTGAACTGATCCTTAGATTTATAAGAAGGGCATAATGATGAATATCAATTGAAAACTAGTATTAATATCATCAAAGCAATTTGTTAAATGCTTTAGGGTGCATTCGGTGTAGACAAATCGGAATATCTTCGGCCGTTCGGCGTAGAGTTAGGGTATCCTTGGCGTACTGGCGTAATATCAACTTTCCTTGGCGTAGTGGCGTACACTGTTTTTAACTTGTCGGCGCATAAATACCGGATAAACACAAAACTTTGTAATTCAAAGGTCCACATACACACCGACTTCAACTGCATGCATTTAAGTATTTTAACGACAACAAAGGCATTTAACTTCTTAAAAATGGTCCTCTAAACGTGTAGCATTTTTTGACTCACGAGTCGAAAGGCCCGGGGAGTCTGCGATCGGCGTAACGTCCTGGAGTGGGTAATTGTCGTAAGTATGGCCCAGGGTGGGAAGTTGGCGTAATGTTAAGATTGCTTTGGCGTATCTTCGGCGTGTGATATACACCGAATGCACCCTGGTAAATGCTGCATCCGGCATCGTTAATAGTGGCAGAGACTGGTGCATTTCCTACCTTTGATGTCGGAATAAACGTAGCACAGCCGTGGTTTATCCGCTCCGTCCGCTGTCCACATTATTTTATCAGAAAGCAACATAAGTTTCCCATTATTTTTCTTATATCTGACATGTTCTGATATAAGCAGAACTTCCTCGCCAGCCATATTGTATATCAAGCGAGATACTTCATGTAAGACGTTCGATACTGAATTCTGTTGGCAGGCAATATCAAGGTACGCTAACGTGTTGCGTTTTTTCTATTTTCAGAAGCAAATATTATATATAAAATTCAATTCTGAAAGAAAAATTGTACCAGACCAGTAAAAATGTACTATCATTCAGTAATTGCCAAAAATATCACAGTAACATTGCCAAAGCTGGTAGCCGTTTTGAAAACAGAAAACGCATAAAAATCGTTTGGCGTTGGCGGATCGCGTCTGGTGTGTTTCCGCCTTTATAGTAAAAGTGAGAAAGTATAGTATTTTTCATAATATTATGTTGTAATTACCCTTCATTTTTGTCATTCTCTACCAAATTGACTCATTCACGGATTGATCTGAATACTATTCAACACTACTGCCACTACAGCTGATTAGGCCCACTACAGCACAATTTATTTTGTCCGGGGTCGGTTGTATAAAACTCTTTAATTAACTACATTTTGCATTGTTAAATCCTAGTTAATTCAGACTGAATACAGTCCTCTGATTGGCTAATTTTGTCTTTAACTACAACTAAAAGTTAACTAGTCTTTTATACGACTGGCACAGTCAAACATCCTCGTCGAATTCCTAAGTTGTCGCCAACTTTGGCCAACCAGGAATAGTAACGTCACAGCTGAAAACTTTACCCGGTATATATACGGGGAAATGCGGGATGAAGTTTCGTCATATGAACAGGACAAAACAAGTCCGAAACTTTTTCGCACATGAACACGCCCTTAGGCCTTAGAAAAAGACACATTCATTTTACCTTTGAAACCAGACGAAGAGGAAACGCAATTTAACAAATACCTGCGAACCTGCATTCCCGGTTATTTTTTATTTTAAGAGTGGCTTCATAATTAAACAATGAGTGTACGGTACTGTTACATCACTTACATAGTAGCAAATATTGACACAGGGCTGCCCCTGCTTACTTTTGTAAGTAAAGGGCAATGTTGGCGCCAGCTGCCCCTGCTGTGAGCTGTCCCTGTGGTTCTGGCGCCCTTGATTAACTGCACTCCACAGAACATATTTTATGCCATTTATTAATGCCTATATGAAAAGATGGTGCTGAAATATTTTTCAGGATCTTCTCAGGCTACATACATACGATCACTAGACTAATTACATTACGCTTCAAATGGTTAATGAGCTTATTTACTAACGCTATAATGCTAACTAGATTTAAACAATAAAATGACCTACGACTTCCTATAATATCAACCATGCAATGGAGCACATGCAAACAAAAATATTAGTAAATGTTTTATAGTCAGTATCCGCAGCTGGAGTAACACGGGTAGTCTTGTTTCTTGCAAACATCGGGATCCTCACCGCATTTTACATTTATCCAACACCATCCATACTTGGCACAATACTTCCAGCAGTAGTTTGAATGCGAACTAGAATGATATGCACAACCTGACAGTTCTGGAAAAAAGATGCTTTTGCCCAGGTACATTTGGATGTTCTTCTGGTTCATGAATTTCGCCTTGTTGATGACAGATTCCCCGCCTGCGAAGTAATCAACCCAATCCACAAGCAAGAAATTCACCGTCAAATCCCGCCTTTCTCTCAAATTGTAGCATTCAAATGCTGCTTCACCCAACCAGGAAGAACACGTCTCCGCCATGTCCCAAATACATTTGCCATAACTCCCGAAAGCCGAAACTTCAATGAATGTATAAAACGAGCCAGGGATGCCACATTTCTCTTTGGCTTGTTCGGTTATGCCTGAACAGCTCGAGATCACTGGATTCGTATCCCGGGTTGACACAATCTGCCCGAAGCTCAACACAAGCCATTTATGTTGTAAAGACATGTATTGGTATAGTTCATAAGCCACGAAAATTAAAATTCTTTCGTTTGGTCGTATCGCGTCCTTGAGTTTTGGCCAGTTTCCATGGGTCATGTAGTAGCCACTCATTGCCAGCTTTCCCGAATTATTTGGCGGCCACAGTTTCATCAGTGTGCTTTCAATGCTTTGCGAAATATTCTTCTCATAACCTTTTTGCACATTGCTGTTGAAGTGGATTATTGCAACCTCACTTGGATGAGATTGCATCCAACTGTCGATTTGTTTAAGACCTTTTTCGATGGAGCCTGCGTAGGCACAGACGTTCTTGCCACAGTGGCAATTTAAAGCTTCTGTTTCACCAAAACAGGTTTCGATGTCAAAGTAACGTATACCATACTCCAACTGCTCCGAGAAACTTTTGCCATGGTTACGGAAGAAACACGAAGGTGCCGCTCCGCCGCTCCACCAATGGAGACGCCCATCAAATCCGGATCCAGCATTGTGACAGCCTGCAAATGTTACTTGATCGATACGTAGCTCGCATAGATCAGGAAGACCATTGCATTTTTGTGCAGCGATTTGCCTCGCGTTTACTAAAAAATATAGAAACACAAACGAATGTGAGTGCACTCTGTCGTAAATTATTGTGCTAAGAATTATAAGATGCCTGACATAGCTCTAGTGTGCGCCAGCCTTAACTTCGCGAATGTCAACTGCATGACCTGTAAATGCCAGCCTAACTGGACATGCCAATTTCACTTTTACTGGCGATTTACCTTTAAATTTCATGAATACAAACTTATAATGAATTTATAAGACTCATAGCCTGCCGGACACGAAAGCTATCTGGCAGCATCTGCTCAGCAAATCGTGTAGTAAAGAGGCTAATAAACATATGCAAACTTGCAAAACATATATGCAAAGTGTATTATGTATAATTTTATTAGCTTGTCGTGGATACAAACTTGCTCTCAATGTACACTTATATCACCGAAACCGGCCGTTGTATAGAATGTTTGTGCTAGTGGCGAAGCCACTCGGATAATTTATTAAGAAATTAATTAATTCGGGGAATTTTTTAAGAAATTAACGATGGTAATAAGTAGTTAAAATTACATGGCGAGACTAAAGCCTGGTTTCCATTTAATCGTAATTGTCGTGAACAAGGCTTCTTCATTATTCACTGATGGGAAATAGTGCCGATGGAAATTTGTCTCTTATTCTGCATTCAAATCGATCATTATTGACTGCACATGATTATTTTTATATATTCACATTTCTGACTCTGACTCGCATGCATCAACTACCTTCACATGTTCACGACACATGGAAACAGCAGGCTGGCTGGGCCACTAAACAGTAATTTAAGATCCTTTTTCCCACATTTCCGACTCTTAGAGTGGGGGAAAATACTCGATGCACAGCATGAGATCTGATATTCAGGTAAAAAAGTAGAGATTCGAAAAATCGGCAGTGTTTTTAATATCATTGATATCAAATACCCGACATTAGAGACCTTTAGTTTGACGTTTACGGCAAACGCCAAACCGCTAACAAAGTTTCTATTCTAACTTCACTATCTTTAGGTGTGCGGCAATTTCGCTAAATTATACAAACGTTCTACATAAAACTTGTGCTGTTCAGCAGTATAATGTAAGAAAGCAATAGGCTATTTTCTGATGTATTTAGAGAAGCAGCAAATTCAGCTTTGCCGTAGTGTTTCACGTTCGCTGTATATAATTTAATGCTTGAACGACTGCATGAGGGTGTATGCAGTCGGGTAATTTGCATCGCGCACACCATATGCCGTCGTCAGCATTTCATATGTACGCACGCACAGTATAGAAACGCGTTAATTGCGATATGTAAATATACACGACTTTTACATAGATTCCCAGCAATCAAGATCTTCACGATTCAAAGAAATTCCCCTCAAAGTGACAACTACGAGGGAGAGAGGGAGTGAGGGAGGTAGGGACGCAGTTAGGGAGGGAGGGACGGATCAGTCATAACATAGGATATTATGCTAACATTTATTTTGATAGCATGCTAACATTTAAAAATATACAAAATCAACCCCAAAATTCTGAAGAAGGTTTGAAGTACCGCATCTAAAGCTGAGTAAAGAACAAAATATCCAGACAATTGACAATTTACATATAATATTTTATATTGGTCAGGTCAGGCATGCACTGATACCCACCACTGCATCAACAGCTGTTGGAAAAAGATCGGTAGGTTTTTGAAAAGAAACTTCATTGTTGTACCCCGCCTTTGTAAATGCACATTCATGCAATGCGATTGAAGAACCCTTTATGTATTGTAAGTAGCTTATACACGCGCAATTCATAATCACTATACATAAATGTGCACCAACGAATTAAAACTTGATTCAATCGGCTAACCACTAAATAACTAGTTTGTTGTGCCTAGTTTTAACTATAATATAACAAAAGCATTAGAGATAAAATATAGATGGACAAAAAAGACCGAGCATGAAATATAAATCATCTGAAGTTTCTTTTGTCTCGTTTTGAATTATGGTTGGAAGTCTTGTGTTAGCTTATATGCTTAAATGTCGATGCTTGTGTTTCATGTTTCATTGCACACGTTTCATTATTTTGCCTTTTGATAGTTCGTTACGCTTATATTCTTAAGACACAAGTGAAAACGACGTTTTTTTTACTTCATGCACTGCATACCTGTATTTTCTTTTCGCGGAAAATATGGTCGATGAACCATGGCGTTAATTGCCGAGGACAAGACCAGGCAGTATAGTATCATTACATGAGTGAGGTCAAATTCCATCTCGTTGTTTTTATACTTTATTTTGCTTTTATACTTCTTTTGCTTTGTTCACGAGAGCGAGCTTGTATGGGGTGTATATAGTAACAGTAGATGCCGACTGTCTGTCTGCAATTGTAAAATATATTATAGTATCTTAAAAGATTAAACCCAAACCATACAATCATTAGCAATTTTTTATATAATTATACATATATATTCTGCAAGGGCCCTATATATATATAATTAATTTTATCAATTCAATGCAGATTCATATATATACGCAATAAATGAAATCACCTTCTATAGATAGGTTTGAATATGATACGAATGTTTTTGTTAGGATCAGTGTTAAATCAGTAAAATTCCGACAATATCCTATTTTGATGGTTCCCTTTTTTAGCGATGAGATCGCCCTGTGCGTGGAAAATAAAAACATACTTACACGGTCTTTCAAGAGCTCCACTACCTTAATCCTTTTGCTCAGAGGAAAATCAGTGAAATGAATAGCCGCTGAGCTGTTTCAATCACCAGATCTGAAAACGCAACAGACATGCATGCATGCACAGTCCATCCTATCATATTTCCGAGTGTTTTAAGGACACTTAAGTTTCAACAATGTAATGTTTCAACGATGTAAAAGTTTCATTACTTGAAATTTACATTACCCTCATTCATGTTCAAATTATATACGACTACGTAAACTTTTAAAGTAGGCCGCAATATCGATATAATTCAAGCAAAACAAGCACATTAAGTAATACTGCTTTTATTCTAAATTTCAGGTACTCTACTCAGCAAAGATTCAAAACAATGATTCAAACACTACATGCAGGTTATTTATTCTCATGATCAGTGGCAAGCTAACAACTCGAGCCTCATCATAGATGTACTGAAATTTGATATGAGTTTGAAATGCGTGGGTAACAGTTGTTGTTGGATCATTGTTTCCTTGAAAAATCTAAAGAAATAAATCAACGGTTTTCTATCAACTAGCCTTGCGCATGGTTTGGCGCCACCACCGCTTTGTTCCACCATCGTGGATGAATCCCTAACCTTAGCAAACTTTTGCATTTCTTTAGGGGTTAATTTAGATGGGAATTGAACATTATACTTTATTTTTGGAGTAAGCCCAACTGTTGATGTTTTTGTCCAAGAACAATTGACCATAACAAAAGAGATGGCGAATGTACATTTTCCTAGAATGCATTGCGGTCGGAAATCGTTTAAAAAAACGAACTGACGTCTTTTAAAGGACAGGCATAAAACAGAAGTTATTTTGTTCGCTGTGTTGAAACTTCAAGTCATTAGGAGTTATTCTTGCCCTCTTTTTTCAGTCAATGCCCGCAATGCATTCTGGTAAAATGTACATGCCGCCACCTTTTTCTTCACGGTCAATTAGAAGGACCCGTCTTACTCTTATCTTGCAAAGTAGGGTTCAAAGCGACTGTCAAAAAGCGATGATGCTGTGACTGCTGAATATGGTACTTTGCATTCCCAATGGCGTGGCATTTTATAGTTCGTGCATGGCATTTTATAGTTTGTAAAACACCAATTTGAACTAAAATGATTTAAAGCCATATTTCTTCTCAATAACAATGAACTTGAAGTCAATTAATTATTATTATAATTATAATTATTTTCCATGTCATAAAATTTAATCCTGACGTTAGCGTCCTTCAATTTCCATACATATTTGAAGCTTGGCTTTCATGCACACAAATATTTTAATGACATATTTGTGTAGGTAGGTAGGCATGTAGGTAAAACTTTATTTAAAACCAAGAGACACGCTAGTCCCATTAACTCTAGGCTGGTTTCCATGAGGGGCGTGTTTAAGTATTAAAATCAGTTAATAAGACTGCAAAACAGGACAATTACACACAGACAGTTTCACACATAGATAGATTATATGAATAAGTAGGATGCGTTTCAGTGTCCAACAACAACGTTAACTGATTTAAACAAACGAAGCGACTCGGCTGATTTTGCTTCGTCTGGGAGCCGATTCCAATTAAAGCATAGCGCCGCTATATTTGAATTTTTTCAAGGGACTCTCGATTCGGCCTAGGGAGACTTAGGTTTGTTGCAGAGTTTCGGAGGTGATAATTAGTTTGATCTATTTCTCTGCTCACAAAAGACTCTCGAAGAGCAGGCGCAGTGTGTTCATTAAGTATCTCGTACATCAATACTGACTTGGCACAAGACCATCTAGTTTCAAGTGTGTCCCAAGAAAGATTACTAAGAAGATCGATTGATGAAGTATGATATTTTGCATCTGTTAAGACCCTCGCTGCACGAAACTGAAATTTTTGCAACTTGTCTCTGAGCAGCTTACCACAAGTATCCCACAGAGGGGATCAGTAATCGAAGTCAGGCTGCTTTTAAAAAAACAGATTCTAGGGTATGTCTAGCAACAAAGGGTCTTATGCGTCTCATAACGCCAATCCCTGCACTCACCTTTTTACATATCATTTCAATGTGACTACCCCAGTTAAGATTTTCATCTAATTTATTCCCCAAACACATTTGTGTAGTAGTTCGTGATATGGGTTTTGCATTAGCCATAACGGGTACATCACACATCAAATTATGAATGTTATATGGGGAACCAATAAACATCATTTTTCCTTTGGATGGATGCATCTGCAACTTGTTTTCTTTAAGCCAGCTACATTCATGGGCAAGATCCGATTTTAATTTTATAATAAGTTCATTTGCATCAAAAGAGGATGAAAAGATTTGAGTATCATCCGCATACATAGCTGGAGTGGTTCATTTTAGACATTCAGGCAAATCATTAATAAATAGTAAGAATAGTAGTGGTCCCAGTCTAGAACCCTGGGAACTCCACAGGTGATAATTTTATAATTAGATAGCTCCCCATTGACATTACATTGCTGTACTCGGTATATTATTATGTATGTATGTACTTCTAAGCAACGCTGTCACAGCCACTATCTTCTTTCTTTGGTGATCGCTCTTAGTCGGATGCCGCACCTATACTGATCAAATCTGGTCTGGAGCATTCATTACCTACCCATGCACTTGTGCAACTAATTGAATTCTGGCTACAATATTTTAATAGGATAAATATAAATTTCCTGTGATAAGCACAGTTGTCACTAACTGGTGAAAAGCACAGTTGCCAGCTCCCTAATCAAGATCTCTTCCTCTTTCTTGTCAATAATCTTGTCAATATTCTTGCTCTAATTATGTTCTTCCACCAGAAGATTTAAGAAATAATCTTCAATAGATAAGTTACGCATGTTTATATTTCGAAAATGAAAACATCATCATTATCATCATCGTCATCATCATCTTCATCATCGTCATCATCTTTTGCTTCGTTAAGATAAGAATACTGTAATGCTTCACAGGCATACGGTTTTTTTTAATTTTATGGCAGATTAACTTCTTAACAAACTTTCGAGCACTTTTATCATTAAGAACTTTTAAATTTACAGGTTTTCCTTTCACAATGTTTCCCATGCGATCATGAGTGGGACCAAATGGATGATCACCTTTTGTAAGAATGAAAAATGCAATCATTCCAGTAACTTGAATATCAGACTTTTTCTTATAACGAGATTCTACTTTTTGACCTATTGCTTCAATTATTTCCGCAGGCATCCATCCTGGAGTTCCTTTTGCATTAGTATAAACTGTAGTTTCGTCTGCCTTCAAAACACGACTTATTCCAAAGTCTGCCAATCTCATATGACCCCCAATGTCGACCAAGACGTTTGATGGTTTGAGGTCTCTGTGCAAAATTCCTTGATCGTGAAGAAATTGCAGACCAGTTAAGATCTCCTTAATCATACGTCGACCTTTTTTTTTAAGGTCGTCTATACTTCGGGAAAGAACATGGTCTTTCAGCGTTTCCTCGCAAAGATCAGTAACCAGATATACGAAAGTCTCGTCTCGAAAATAGTGTCGGTAGTTTACAACAAATCGGGAATTCTTTGTCTGAATTAAAGATAGAATGTTTTTCTCATTCTCTGCTGTTTCTGGGGGTGGTTGTAGTAACATTGTTTTAATAGCCACTTCACTCCCATCTTCCATAAGACCAAGATAAACAAACGTGCCCCCAGAACCTCTCCCGAGCAAAAATGATTGATCCCTGGAAAAATGCTTGACTGGTGATATAGCCTATGGGAAAAACACACATGACTACTCAGTATCCTAAATTGTTTACTTCATTAAGGAGGTGAGAGTTTAAAATATCCAAGGTAGTTTTATAAATTTTTAGCTTTAGTTCAAAGTTTAATAAAGGAATCATATAATATGGTTATCGTGTAATATCAGATAGAGATACATTTTTATATAATAACGTTAAGAATCCAAGCAATTTCATTGGTCGATAGCTATGATTTATAAGAGGACAGACGCACGGAATGACCTCACAGATAATTTTAACAAATTCAGTAGTCTCTTGTCTTATTTTTTTTAGGCAATTACATTTTAGCACGTGTCTTAAGCTAGCCAATAGCATTTCGATCCATCTCGTCATGTGAAAATGTTCACCTAAACCTTGACAACCGAAACGTACTTGCACATGCCTGTATAATTTTTCGAAAAAAGGAATCATATATTACAGATACGGTAACGGATATCTTTATTATACTAAAACATAAATGACATGTACCGATGAAGCATGCATAAAGGGTGTATTTGCATATTAGCTAGGAAAATCGTAATATAAAATTCTTAACCTAATGTAATTCACATGTTTTTATTGGTTCCCGCAATGTTGTAAAATTCACGCTATTCAGCCTTAGCTGCAAAGTGATTTTTTACTAAATAATCAATAATTTTACTGGGGGTTAAATGTTGTATTTGTCATATTTCATATTTTTAATTTCAAGTCCTTTATAAAGGTCATGTTTGTTGAAAGGCCTTTGATTGAAGAATAATTATGCGGAATTTATAACAACCGACACGGGATGACAAAAAAGTTGAATTTTGTTTTAAACTTATTGGTATATTTGTTCACATTTTTCAGGCAAAGCCTAAATTTTAATATAATGTACCTCAGCATGTAAATGTACCTTCTTACCGGAAGTAGTCAAAATCAATGCATTTTGATTGGGTTACTGAAAATGTAAACAAACTCGCTGATTGGTCTAAAACAAAATTGCCCCTTCTTCGGCATGACACAATAGCACCGCATTTTGAAGATTTGAGGAAAAAGGCAGTTTAAGCCCACTGCTGTTTATTTGAAGTTGTAAGTCACAATGTAACACTTGTGCATGAGTATTGCATGGTCCTTTACTTGTTAAGTATTACTGCTAGCTTGCTAGTGATTTTGTATTTACCAATGACCACCCCTAAAAGCACCTCCGAACCATATAAGAAGCTTAAATTAGTCAAAGCTTTTTTTGGTTGGCATGCAGATAACACTATAGTGAATGTGCGGTTTTTGGGTGTGGTCAATTTTGCCTGCATTATGGTTCGGGCAGCGTTATCATATATATATTGACCGCCATTGTCAACTCACCCTAAAACAGTTCAGTTTACCTGTTCTAAATGAAATGCATACCAACTCATATTCAGGGCCTTGACTATTAGCTATACGTGTAATGTTACTACGAGCATTTGTTGTTTTTTAATTATATGGATAATCAATTTGGTTCTTTCTAATGTACATCCCTGTTTTCATTTCAATCACAAAAATAATGAATATCGATGCCAAAACATCAATACCAGTCTCGCAAAAGTTTAGAATATAAAAACTAGTATTAATCTATTTAGCTTTAACTTAACTATTACAACCGTGACAGTAATTCTCACCTTGCTCTTGGAATCATTCAATGAATTTTGCTTTAGTTTCTCAAGTCTCTCACGATGTTTAACAGACATGTTTACAAACCTATCGCCAATATCTTAGTATATCATCACCTCAACATTCCATTTCTAAATCAAAAGAAAGGCAGAATATTGCACTACAATTAAAGGTATACCAACAAATATATATATGGCCACTTCTCCCATCTAGCGATACATTTGCTAGTTTATGGCCGTTAAGTATAAGGAAATCATTTTTTAAATATCAATTTTACAAGTGCAAATCGTGAATACCTCGAGCTTAAAGCGCTAATAATATTTTTCCTGTGTTACATGGAGATTTAAAATTAATATGGAATTAATAATGTTACAAACTTTTTTCGCAACATGGCCTTAGCATTTGATATAGAGCAGTATATAATTGAGTTCAAATGACGATGTTCAGATCTTCCTGGGGAACATATCACAGGCTCCTTTCTCCCACAAGTTTCAAGCCATTTCACCAGCCCCAATCTAGAAATTGCTCGGCTGTACCTAATTTTTACCCTCGCGGTTAGACAGTTGATAGCTATGGGCTTCATATGAATAGTATGATAACGCTATATATATATGTATATATATATATATATATATATATATATATATATATATATATATATATATATATAATTATATATATATATATATACAAATTCGTCATTTTCAAACGTTTTCAAAAGTCAACAGCGCGGGTCCAGCATCGTCCCATTCAAAAAATGAGTAAAACATCAAAAACTTTTCGCATTTGTATATATAAATATATATATATTTATATATATATATATATATATATATATATATATATATATGTATATATATATATATATATATATATATATATATATATATATATATATATACATATATATTAAATAATATATAGATATATATATAGATATATATATATATAGATATATATATATATATATATATATATATATATATATATATATATATATATATTATATATATATATATATATATATATATTATATATAATATTATATATATATATATATATATATATATATTACTGTCGTTGTCGAAAAGGTTGTCCTGAGCAAGTATATGTATATATCGATCACGTGACTTATTATGCATCAACACGCGAGGGATTGTACAAGCGTGCTAATTTCGAGCTCGAGTATAGCAAGGTGAACGATTAGAAAATAGCAAGACCATATTCGGATGATTTAAGGTGGAGAATGGTTTATCAACGACTGTTCACGAAGAATCATCGACGAAATTGCAGCACAGCTATTGTTTGTTCAAAACCGTCTATCGTACTCTCAGCACCTTTTGGAACACGGTGATGTGAAGCCTTGCCGTATGGGTCGCCCAACAGCGAGCGTATCTTTATTCCCACCACGAAGAATATATTATCATGGACTGTTTACTGAGAACGCCGCAAATACAGTGAATGAGATAGCAAGCTATATGTAAACCTCTTCAATAGGATTCAATCAGGACTGTCGTACACTCGTTCTACAATTCTTGTACATGATGTGTTGGGTGGTTATCTGTTAAAAATATGCATATTACTAGTTTTAGCAGTTGCATCTTTGTGCATCAACAAGTTTTGTTTAAACTGATATTAATAGATCAAAACATGATCACAAATTCAGTCGTCCCTTGAGACATATGTTAGAACAGCGAATTTGCATTAATTATAATCAAATCTCACCCATAACGAGAACGGATCGCGGGATTTCCCCATCAAATGTTCATCAGAAAATGGATAATTAAATGAGCGTGTTTCAAATCTTTCTTCGGGATTCTTTAACAAACAGTTCGCAAGAAAGTCCATGACTCATCAAGTCCAAAATGTGGCTTGAAGAGTGATAAAGAACAACTACAGTAGAATCTTGTAATAAATTGGAAAAGGTGAATGGCTTGCGTCTTATTAATATAGTTATATGATTTCCAGCGTCCGGTATTAAGTATATATTCCAACTTAAATATGTCATAATGTTCGTACCTTTTTGAGTGCATGTTATTCCAAGCCTATAGATAGCTCGGCACAGTGTCTCCGGGCCAAATGCAGAGCCAGTAGCATTAATGATATAGCTTGCTATCTCATTCAACTGTATTTGCGGCGTTCGCAGTAAACAGTCCATGATAATATATTCTTCGTGTGGGAATAAAGATACGCTCGCTGTTGGGCGACCCATACGGCAAGGCTTCACATCACCCGTGTTCCAAAAGGTGCTGAGAGTACGATAGACGGTTTTTGAACAAACAAATAGCTGTGCTGCAATTTCGTCGAGGATTCTTTCGTAGAACAGCCGTTGATAAACCATTCTCCACCTTAAATCATCCGAATATGGTCTTGGCATTTTCTAATCGTTCACCTTGCTATACTCGAACTCGCAATTAACACGCTTGTACAATTCCACGCGTGTTGATGCATAATAATGTCACGTGATCGATATATACATATACTTGCTCAGGACAACCTTTTCGACAACGACAGTATATATATATATATATATATATATATGTATATATATATATATATTTATACATATATATATATATATATATGTATATATATATATATATAGCTATATATATATATATATATATATATATATATATATATATATATATATATATATATATATATATATATATATATATATATATATATATATATATATAATATATATATAGAAATTCTTCGTATGAGATAAAAGAGTGCTGAATACTGCAAGCAAATAGAGCAATATATATATTAATTCATTTACATAATTCTTAAATATATATATATATATATTGATATAATAATATATATAATATATTATATAATATATATATTATATATAATATTATATATATATAATATTTATATATAATATAATATATATATATATATATATATCAATATATATATATATCCGTTACTTAATACGTTATTATATATATATATATATATATATATATATATATATATATATATATATATATATATATATATAAACAATTATTAAGAAATTCTTCGTATGAGATAAAAGAGTGCTCAATACTGCAAGCAAATAGAGCAATATATATTTATTCATTTACATAATTCTTAAAAAATTGGCATCGCTACTCTGAGTTTCATGCCACAGAGGCAATCATCAGGCGACTAAATTTCAGTTCGTTACAAGTTTGATGACGTGCGACTTTCTTGTTTGCGCGTGCGTTTGAAATTTCCTGCCCAGAATTTTTCTCGGTGGCGGCACTTGGCGAAGATCTCTGATCTTTTGTTCAGGAGTTTGTTTGCGTCACCCTGCAAAAGACACAGTTTTTCTGCAATACAGAGGTTGCATCGTTTAGCACCCGGCGAGTATGCTGGCGCGCGTTTTGCGATGGACCAGGAAAGTGTAAACTTCTTATTATTTCTTTTTAAATTCCAAATATACTTTGAAAGTTCAGTTTCCTTCTCGTACCTGGCGTGGTTAAAGGACTTTTTATGGTTGCTGAATCTTGATTTAAACGAATTCGCGGTCATCCCGAGGTATTGCTTGGTCTCATCTTCGCTATTTAATTCAATTTCGGCTGAATAAACCACGTTCTTAGATAGGCACTTTTGGTCAAGTGGACATTGTGAGGTATTTCTGCAGTTACAATAACGGGGTAGTTGCTCCTCAGCAGCTTGGTTCAAGATCTTGTTGTTGTGTCGTGATATGATGTTTTTCACGTTTGGCATGCAACTGTAGCTAACCTTGACTGTGTTTCGGTTGAACAGCTTGTGCAGAGGGCTAGAAATTGGGAAATGCTTGTCAATGAGTCGCAGGAAATCTCTGGCAACATTTGTTTTCACGGATTTACTAAACGGAGGATTGAACCAGATTACGTTTCTCCGCCGTGTTCTTTTACGTGAAGGGATTGAGGTGATTTCGGGATTACTGGGGGAATATTTTAATTCAGCATTAAAGTGGCTTTCTTTAAGTGCACTTTCGTAGACATGTTTACAAGCGTCAAAGGATTGCTGATCGGAGGATAAGGAGGATACACGTTGGTTGATGGATTTAGGAATTTGCTTAATGATAGACGGTGGGTGGTTTGATTGGCTGTTAATATACTGAGGGTCATTGTTTGGTTTTCTGTATGGTGTGAATTTGCCGTTGTTCAAATTAAGGGTGATGTCTAAGAAATTGACGATCTGGTGGTTAACCTGCGCTGTGATCTTTAGACCGATTTTGTCAAAAACATCGAATAAATTCTTTCTTGCAACATCAGCATCTCGTCCATTAGTGCCTGGAATTAGCGCCAAACCATCATCGCGGTAAAGTCCAACATTATCACTCCCCAACTCTTGTGTTAGCGTATTGAGAATGAACAGGCCGACTAATTCACAAATCTCCGCCCCATCGAAACTTCCCATAGTGACATCGAACATGGAATCGGCGTTCCGTTTTACCCAGGGCATATCTTCCTTAAACAGCAGAGATTTTCGTGCATGCTGGATAATAGTAATGTCATCGTTCGATATAAACGTAAATGACTGAAATTTCAAACGCACGCGCAAACAAGAAAGTCGCACGTCATCAAACTTGTAACGAACTGAAATTTAGTCGCCTGATGATTGCCTCTGTGGCATGAAACTCAGAGTAGCGATGCCAATTTTTTAAGAATTATGTAAATGAATAAATATATATATATATATATATATATATATATATATATATTATATAATATTATATATATATATAATATATATATATGTATTGATATTTTCAATTTCTCTCAGTTGTTTGTCAAAAAGCTTATGAAGTAAACCAAGTTTATTTTATTTTATCTTTATACTAGCTCTATACTTTGGTATATCGAGCACTCTACTCATATATATATATATATATATATATATATATATATATATATATATATATATATATATATATATATATATCAAGTAATATTAATATTGTGCGCCTAACTGTGGCATGAACAGAACCAGAGTTCACAACTAGATAAATCCTCAAAATACAAAATTGAGGAACCTTTTAATCATTTGTGTTAACAGAGGTGATGCAACAAACACAAATTTACTTTAAAATATGATGTAAAATAACTTTAACTTATTCAACCTTGTACGAGGTTGTAACTTATAAATTTTGCACGCACTTCACTTCATGCAGTTCCAAACGCTCAGTTTCTGTGTTTTTAATTTCTCTTTTGAGTTGCGTAGAGCTAAAATTTGACAATATATTAATGCAGCAAACATGAGGGAATTACCTAATTCCCTCGATTGATTGAACGGGCTTTCGATACGTATTCAGTGTACAAGTAAAGAAGTGAAGCCATGGCTGATAGCTAACACTTTAGTACAGCAGGGATGGAGATTAGATCATTGCTGATAAATTAAAATTCCATGATATGGAACCAAATAGTCAAACACCAACAACGGAAGTCGTTTCTGACTGAGCGACTAACACTTGTATTAACACTATAAAACGCTTTGGCGAAAGCACATAACGGCAAGATCAACACTACGAGACGTTCTAAACAGCGAAACAACTGTATACTTCTATTAAATCGTTATTATATATAAGGACAAACATACCTGTTTCAATATTCATACAGTAAAGAAACGATAGATTTGCTATGAAATCTTTGTAAATAAATCACTACCGTTCAGTACGCACCACATTCAACACGATATACCAAAACACCATATGACTCATTTCCATCATTCAAACGTTCGAAATTTTAATCTTGTTTAAAACCCATTCCAAACATTTTTTATGAACACCTTCTCATTTGACGCCATGTGACTCGTGTACGGAAGATATTTTCGGGAGAAGCAAAACTTAAATATCTCTGCAAGTATTTGGGCTTGAAAAGATTATTTAAATAGTATATTCAAACCGAGAACGTCTGTTTTGTGAGTCAAATGAGTCTATGAGTTGTGAGTCAATGAGTTACGAGTCAGCTCAAGTCAGCTGGATTTTTCGAACTTATGGTTCACGAATTTACGTTGTTATTTTCAGTTGGTTAGTACGTTACTGGTACGGTGTTGCAAACCACCCTTTAAGAAATAGAAAACATTTTCCGTGTTTCTATACAGTTATAGAAACACGCGTGGGAGTTTGGGAGAACGAGAAATAATCAGTGGGAAAACGAGCCCGTAGGGCGAGTTTTTCGACGTTATTTCGAGTTCTTTCAAACTCCCACAAGTGTTTCTATAACTGTATAGAAACACAGGAAAAAATGTTTTCTATTTCTTTTATAATATAACTGAATAAAAAGATTTTGTACAAATATTATGATTCGATTCAATTACAAATTCTCATTACATCGCTTCGCTTGTCAAGTTCGGCGGGAAAATTCCCGTGTTTCTATACAGTTATAGAAACACGCTTCTTGACCAATCAGCACGCGCGTACTATAAATGTTATATTATAATAAGAGTTATTATATATTACAGATTTGTGAACTTTTCATTGTCTGTATGAACTTTATTTGCATTGGTCTGGTTAGAAGTATTCTTCAATAATTATCCAGTATTATAATACAATAGTACTTCAAGGGTTCATATGTACAAGAAAGGTAGGGCAATGCAGTCACCACAGTAAGTCGCTTTTGAACGTTAGCGACTGATTCCGATATTTTTTGACAGTTTCCATGAACTTTTTGTGAACATTTGAAATTGGTTTATATGAATATTTACAACTTTGATCTTGAATCCTGACGTGATAGCTGTGTTTAAAATCCGTCCGAACTTGTATATCAGTTAATAAATTGAACGTTGGTGAAGACCTGCTTATTCCATGCATCACATTTCTATTTTGATCCCCGAATTTCATAATGCCATAAATGCCCTCCTAAATAACTGCTTAATAAGTACCATATATAACATGAACGGCCGTGTTGTATCAGTAGATATACAAACCCAAGCCGAAGGCGAGTGTTTTTATCTCTGATACAACACGGACACGAATGATGTATAGTACTTATCAAACGAATACAGGGACCGCGGAGCAGAGTGGCTCGCCCCAACAATAATTTTTCTTTTTTTCGAATATTTTTTAGTTCGCTCAAATTTACAAGCAAAACAAGCGCCAAAATGCTGGAAACTTTACATAGGGCAAGCATTTGACCATTAAAACAGCGTGGTTATCCATTTCAAAATAATTGACATCATAACCAAAGCATGGTTATATTGTTTAATGTTTGTATATGAGCGCCAAACATGCTGGAAACTTTACATTGGACAAGCATTTGACCGTTAAAACAGCGTGGTTATCCATTTCAAAATATTTGACATCATAACCAAAGCATGGTTATATTGTTTATTGTTTGTATATGAGCGCCAAACATGCTGGAAACTTTACATAGGGCAAGCATTTGACAATTAAAACAGCGTGGTTATCCGGCCATTTCAAAAAACTTGACATCATAACCAAAGCATGTTTATATTGTTTAATGTTTGTTATGAACGCCAAACATGCTGGAAACTTTACATATAGGACAAGCATTTGACCATTAAAACAGCGTGGTTATCCATGCATTTCAAAAAATTTGACATCATAACCAAAGCATGGTTATATTGTTTAATGTTTGTTATGAACGCCAAACATGCTGGAAACTTTGCATAGGACAAGCATTTGACCATTAAAACAGCGTGGTTATCGATGTCAAAATATTTGACATCATAACTGAAGCATGGTTATATTGTTTAATGTTTGTTATGAACGCCAAACATGCTGGAAACTTTACATAGGACAAGCATTTGACCATTAAAACAGCGTGGTTTTCCATTTCAAAATATTTGACATCATAACCAAAGCATGGTTATATTGTTTAATGTTTGTTATGAGCGCCAAACATGCTGGAAACTTTACATACTATCTATTATTTTCCATCAATCCTTAAATTGAGAGGCATTTGCGGCGATTTCAGAGACCTATAATTCAAAATTTTCCCGGACTCTCCTAGCAGGCGCGCGGTTCCGAGCCCCAGCAATACGAACGGTCCGCGGTCCCTGGAATAGATAAATCTAACCTTCTAAGAGAGATATATCTAAGAGTTATGTTGGCCTTAATGTAAAATGTAGCCGAGAAATTCGAAGGTAAATTTTATGCAAATGAGGCAAAATCTTTATCCGCAGTTACAAAACTGTGGTTAGGAAAATGCAGCAAAATTTTTTGACTCATAACAAATATTTGTGCTGCATTGTTTGTTGATTCGGTATTATTAAGATGGTTTTTCACTATATATAGGTGGAGGTGGAAATCTTCGATGGAACGGAGTATTTCGCTGAATTCTCTTTTCAATTGTGAAATTAAACCGAAGCAGATTTACTTGAAAGATCACAATTGAAAAGAAAATCAAGCGAAAAATTTCCTTCGATCGAAGTAATTTACCTATATAGTAGAAAACCGGCCTAACACCTAAAACGGTGTTAAATGTGTTAAACTCCAAAAATGGAGTTATTGATTTAACTCCAAAAGCGGTGTTAATTCAACTCCGTATTTGGTTTTACATTTTACCTCTTAAAAAGGAGTTACTTTCAACTCCAAAAAGTTTCTTATTTTGAACCGATTCTTTAACACCACTTTTAGAGTTAAAATAAAACCCTGAAAATAACAGTGCATTGACTAATAACTCATTTCTCATTAGACTCATTTCAACATTAATCTCATTCAAACCAGCAGATAGTTATAGCTGATTTTGTATTATAAGTCAAAACAAGAGTCAAAATGATAGGTTGTTTTGTTATCTCAAATTACCATAGGCACCCAGAACTGATCTCGCTGACCTCGCGCGACGCTCATGAAATTACTCACCCATGCATAGCAAGCATAATTATACTTTTAAAATTCCGCATTTTTTTGGCTTTTTTTCTTCTGTGTTGTCTTTTAAATTTCTGAATTTTACATATTATCATTCTGTTATAATTTCGAGTAATTTTTGGGGTAGGATGTGCAAAAAAATCGGAGAAATAGTGGTTCGTCGAATCGACAATTACTACGCAGCACGACTGGATATTGGTATATCGACAATATTGTATTTACTGTCACAAATAATATTGTGCACAAACACAAACCACTGTGAAGTTAGCCGCGGATTCGGCCCTCATATTCAACTGTGTTCAATCATTCAAACGTAGAATTTGGTTATTTAATAATAACAGGTTTTTTAGCCATTTTTTCGTTTAAACTTTAAAATTACGAAAACGTATTATACATAGCTTATTTATGCATCGCTGGACTATAATTAGAATAAAGCAGTCGATTTTATTCAGATTTACAGAAAATTTATTATTATTTTAGGGCACTGTGTGAGAAGTGGGGGGGGGGGTGAATAGGTTTACGGATCGACGGATTCAGACCAATAACTTGCTCGGATTTTGGATTAACCGCGCTATTTTGCCGGATTTTCGGATCCTGAAAATATAACGGATTGCGGATTTAGCAGACGTGTGGTATCGGATTATGGATTTACGTTATTTTCTACGGATTATGGATTTTGTTTAGATGGGTCAGATAGGGATACTGTGTGATTTTTTGTCACTGATATCACTTTCTGTCCCGTTACAGAAATTCAAGATTGCGGCGCGCGGTCGTTCGCTGCGTCGGCTCACTTGTGACAATTAATGATCACATCGGGTGATAAAACTTATATCACCTCACCTATCATATGATAAACAAAAAAATACATAACAGTCGAACTACTTAATTGCCTCTTTGAGTCATGTGTATGGATCGAAAATTTTTCAGTGGATCCGGATTCTAACCAAAATATTTTCGGATTTGCGGATTTGGCAAACATTTTTTTGCGGATAAACGGATTTGCAGACACCTATTCACCCCCCCCAGAAGTGGTTGACCCACATAGATGTGGCATAAACTAAACTGTTTTATTGCAAATCCTGTGTATACGTCTATGTTTTACAGAATTATACGGCCTTACAAATAGCGTGCATCATTGTGCTGCACAGTCCCAACATACTCGGGATTATTTGCTTCCTTGCTCTTATAAAAAATTTCACCATGATATAAATACAAAGATTTAACTAGTATAAATTATGATCCTCTCACCGACGCTATTAATGTTACAATTTGCCAAAGTCAGTTGCTACAACAGGAATTAGCGTAGATGTGCATACAAATCAAACGAACTATTGCCATATGACAAACAATAGTCCAATGAGGTTAGGATTATAAGTTAAACTTGGCGCAACTTCCACACGCATATATACGATCGTTTGAAACGTTATTTAGAACAGTATTTTCCCATCAATCCAAAAGTACACATCAGTTGAAGGCGCAGACGTTACACGCTTAATGTTTGAGGGCAACAGCAACGACTCATTGCAAAAACATCTTTCAATATTATATATGGTGTTGACATAATTTTATATATTCACGTTATCCTAATTGTTCAATTTAAATTTATGCATTTCATACAAAATGCATGCCTATTCCATGCACTGCATTGAAGTTAAAACTTCATGTTAATGATTTCATTCTTATGCATAATAATACAATGTGCTGTGCCGAGTTTTGCTGCAGTTTGTAGCGCGGACGATGCAACTTGCACTTAGGGATTAAGGATACATTGGACTATGCATGCACAGCCATCTCACCATATTTCCGAGTGTTTTAAGGACACTTAAGTTTCAGCAATGTTTTA